CCTCAGAGAAACCCTATAGACAGTGCTTCAGAGAAACCCTATAGACAATGCCTCAGAGAAACCCTGTAGACAGTGCCTCAGAGAAACCCTATAGATAGTGCCTCAGAGAAACCCTGTAGACAGTGCCTCAGAGAAACCCTATAGATAGTGCCTCAGAGAAACCCTATAGACAGTGCCTCAGAGAAACCCTGTAGACAATGCCTCAGAGAAACCCTATAGACAGTGCCTCAGAGAAACCCTGTAGACAGTGCCTCAGAGAAACCCTATAGATAGTGCTTCAGAGAAACCCTATAGACAGTGCCTCAGAGAAACCCTGTAGACAGTGCCTCAGAGAAACCCTATAGATAGTGCCTCAGAGAAACCCTATAGACAGTGCCTCAGAGAAACCCTGTAGACAATGCCTCAGAGAAACCCTATAGACAGTGCCTCAGAGAAACCCTGTAGACAGTGCCTCAGAGAAACCCTATAGATAGTGCTTCAGAGAAACCCTATAGACAATGCTTCAGAGAAACCCTATAGACAGTGCTTCAGAGAAACCCTATAGACAGTGCCTCAGAGAAACCTTATAGATAGTGCTTCAGAGAAACCCTATAGACAGTGCTTCCCAACTCTGGCCTGGCACATGAACAGGGAAATGTTAGCATTATACTGGGAATGAATGGAGTGAAATGAGGAGCCAATCAGAGCAAAAGAGAAGGTCTGTGAGTATGTGTCAGACAGGAGTGAAGCTAGAGGGATTGTCCTACTGGACTGAACATGGATGCGGAAAGGGGGAAGTGATGTGTGAAGGGGAGGAGTGAATACAAACTGCAGGATCCCACCACGAGCTGCTTTTTGCAAATGAATGGGGCCAAGCTTTGAGCTGAGGTTGTTGAAACGAATGTTGAGTGTGAAAGCTGGATGAGCTGATTTTACTCCAGATTGTATTAAACATCACCAGAGCACAGAGAGGTTTAAGTGGAAACAAGGTGAAGAATTCCATTCTAAACCCTGTTGTGTTCCTGACACTTCAACTTGAAGATGAATTATCGAATGGAGAATGTTCAACTTACAACATGTCTGCTGGATTTGAAGATTTCAGCTTTGTTTCATAACCATAAAGGTTGACATTGATCGAGAGTAGTAACCCCACAACAATTGCTGGGAAACCTGTTTGGAGGAAAACACACAGATTGAGACCCAGAAGGTGATGGTTACTCCCAGGCAAGAACTTCAATTGCTCAGAGAAATAACTCACCCCATCCAATCAGGCAGAACTTCAGCATGTAATGGCGGATGTAGATATTGAAGACTTTCACCAGTGCAAAGTACATGTGGACTGCCTCAATACACATCCACGAGAAGGAGGTCAACAGGAAATAGTGCAACAAGGCAGCCACAGTGATACAGAGGCCTGAGCTCTTAAACGAAGCCATCCACGAATTGGTCAGGAAGAAAATATTCAGCATGAACAAGGACATGCACAGGTTCATCAGAATCTTCGAGGGATAGTCACGACGCACATTCCTAAACACACAAATTAATCACTAAGTTCGGACAATTAGATCAATTCTTGTGCCAATGGTAACCTATCAGAGGCAGTAGCTTTCCCCAGGAAACATCATCAGAAAACCCCTGAGGTGACCGAACAGGCTGGGGGTGGTACAGTCAAAATGTGGCTGCATGATGTCACAGTAATCCAGGGACCCAGGGTTCAAATCCTACCTCAGCAGGATGGTGGAATTTCAATTCAATAGAAGTTTATGCGATTAAAAAGCATCTAATGGTAACCATGAAACCCTTGTTGAATGTTAGGAAAAACCCACCTGGTTCACTAATATCTTTTAGGGATAAAATCTGCCACCCTTACCAGGTCCAGCCGAGATGTGACTCCAGGCCCACAGCAATAGCATTGAATCTCAATTGCCCTCTGAGTAATTAAGGATGGGTGATAAATGCTGGCCCAGCCAGTAATGCCCTCATGTCATGAATGAATTAAGAAAAAGGGAAAAACATACTTGACCTCATCCTCAACAATCTGCCTGCTGCAGATGCATTTGTCCATGACAGGATTGGTAACAGTGACCACTGCATAATCCTACCTTCACGTTGGAATAACCTCCATTGTGTTGGGTGGCACGGTGGCTCACAGCACCACGGACCTGGGCTCGATCTCACCTTTGGGCGACTGTCTGTGTGGAGTTTGCACATTCTCCCCGTGTCTGCATAGGTTTGCTCTGGTTTCCTCCCACAGTCCAAAGATGTGCAGGTTAGGGTGGATCAGCCATGGTAAATTGCCGATAGTGTTCAGGGATCTGTAGCTTAGGTAAGAATGGGTGGGATGCTCTGAGGGTTGGTGTGGACGTTTTGGGCCAAAGGGCCTATTTCCACACTGTAGGGATTCTATGATCTATGGATCACTGCGCTAAATGGGACAGACTTTGCACAGATCTAGCAACTCAAGACTAGGCATCCATGAGGCGCTGTGGGCCAACGACAGCAGCAGAATTGTACTCCAGCACAATCTGTAACCTCATGGTCCGACATATCTCCCACTCAACCATTACCATCAAGCCAGGGGATCAACCCTGGTTCAATGGAGAGAGAGCAGGAGGGCATGCCAGGAGCAGCACCAGGCATACCTGAAGATGAGATATCGACCTGGTGAAGCCGCCACACAGCGAAAGCAGCAAGTGATAGACAGAGCTGAGTGATCCCACAACCAAAGGAACAGATCTAAGCTCTGCAGTCCTGCCACATCCAGTCATGAATGGTGATGGACAATTAAATGACTCACTGGAGGAGGAGGCTTGACCAATATCCCCATCTTCAATGATGGAAGAGCCCAGCACATCAGAGCAAAAGATAAGGCTGAAGCATTCGCAGCAATCTTCAGCCAGAAGTGCCAAGTGGATGATCCATCTCGGCCTCCTCCAATGGTCCCCAGCTTCACAGATACCAGTCTTCAGCCAATTCGATTCACTCCACATGATATCAAGAAACAGTTGGAGACACTGGATACTGCAAAGGCTACAGGCCCTGACAACATTCCGACAATAATACTGAAAACTTGTACTCCAGAACTTGCCGCTCCCCTAGTCAAGCTGTTCCACTACAGTTACAACACTAGTATCTACCCGGCAGTGTAGAAAATTGCCCAATTATGTCCTGTACATAAAAAGCAGGATAAATCCTACCCGGCCAATTACCGCCCCATCAGTCTACTCTCAATCATCAGTAAAGTGATGGAAGGTGTCAGTAACAGTGCTATCAATTAGCACCTGCTCAGCAATAACCTGCTCAGTGACGCCCAGTTTGGGTTCCCTAGAAAATAGGAGCAGGTCTAAGCCATTCAGCCCTTCAAGCCTGCTCCCCCATTCAGTATGATCACAGCTGACCATCCAACTCAGTCCCCTGTTCCTGCTTTCTCCCTGTACCCTTTGATCCCTTTAGCTATATCTAACTCCTCCTTGAAGATATTCAATTTAGCCACTTTCTGTGGCAGAGAATTCCACAGACTCACCACTCTCTGGGTGAAGACATTTCTCCTCATCTCAGTCCTAAATGGCCTACCCCATATCCTTCGACCATGACACCCTGGTTCTGGACTCCCCTGGTCATTGGGAACATCTTCCTATGTTTACCCTGTCTAGTCCTGTTAGAATTGTATTTGTTTCTGTGTTCTGACCCCTCATTCTTCTAAACTCCAGGAAACACAGTCCTAACTGATCCAGTCCCTGTTCACATACCAGTCCTGCCATCTCAGAGATCCTCCTGATAAACCTTCACAGTACTGCCTTCATTACCAGAACATCCTCAGAAAAGGAGACCAAACCTGCACACAATATTCCAGGTGCGGCCTCACCAAGTCCCTGTATAACTGCAGCAACACATCCCTGCTCCTGTACTCCAAACCTCTCACTCCTCCACTTGTGTAACTTTCTGTTTAGGAAATAATACAGCTCGATCATTATTTTATCTTCTGCCCATTTCTCCTCCAAGGTGAGATTTGAAATGATTTCAGACAAACAATTTGATTGGTCTCCAGGCTGTTTAATTTGTACAAAATGTCAATGATGTATAGTCAATATCGTACCATTGATCAGTCAGTTAAAGTTAAAATTAGGAAGCTTTCTGCAGAGGAATAACTTACTCAAAAGAAATGTAAGTCAGTAAGATCAGCCCCAGAAATAAAGAGGAAACTCCACATCCAATGTAACTGATGATGGTGAGAATCCAGCCATTAACCGGATCGATCATTTTCCTGGAGATATTCTGACAGAAAGAGTTTGAGATTAGAATTTCCCA